TAAACTCTTTCTATTTTCTTATCTTAACTTTCTAAAATTCATACTCTCTAAGAGCACAAGTTCGAGAAAAACTTTCTATGGTCAATATCACCCTTTACTATTTTGAATATTTCATTTAAATCATAATCTATCCTAATCATAATTATATCATATCCTAATCCAATGCGCATTACCTACAGCTCAACAATTTAAAAAAAACAAGGTTAACAAAATACTTAAACCATCTGTATGTATTAATTTGCTAAGGTAAAGAACTAACATGCTATATTATATGAAGTATTACAAAATAACCCAATTTTTTTTAAATTGCACAAAATATTAAAACTTTAAAATTACACAAAACATCCTGGCATTTCATAACTTAAAACAATAAAAATTGCACAAAATATTAAAACTTTAAAATTACACAAAACATCCTGGCATTTCATAACTTAAAACAATAAACATGAAATTTGAAAATTAACACCAGAAATTACACAAAACATCCTGGCATTTCATAACTTAAAACAATAAACATGAAATTTGAAAATTAACACCAACCTTTAAAAAATTTAAAATCTGCAAATAACACCTTCTGTGAGACCCCAACTTTAGTCCCACATTGGGTGTTTAGAGTGAAATTGTATGGCTTAAATAGGTAAGCCCATGACTCTAAGTGTAACATCGGCCAGTCGATTTTGGCAGTTGATTGAGCCAAATAACGCGTTACACTCAGTGGGTCATACGGCTTGCACGCACCAAATGGCCCGCGAGCCTAGAGCTAATACCCTTAACATTTTAAAAATTATAGAAACACCCTAAAAAATTTAGATAATAAAAAACACCCTGAAATTCTAAAATTTTAAAACTTACAAACAATAAAGATGAATTCAAGAGATTACCATGGCACCTAAAATTTTAAAATTTGTAAAAAATAACATTAAAGTTATAGAAATTGTAAAAGCTCATTCAAAAGGTGCAAATCACAAAAAATCCCGAAATTTCAAAATTTATAACCAATACATATCAAATCTAAAAACTATCACCAGACCGTTGAGAATTTGAATTTTACAAAAAACAATTAAAAGTTTTAACAATTGTAAAAAACACCATCAAAATTTTAGAGTTGCAAGAAATATCTTGCCATTCAAAAACTTACCACCAACACATAAAACATAAAAATTACAAGCACCTAACTTAAAATTTAAAATTTTTATAAAACACTCTCAAAGTTTTAAAATTTATAAAACACACCCTCAAAATTTTAAAATCACAAAAAGACTAAAATTTTAAAAACTTAGGAAAAAGTAGTAGTTTGATATTTTTTCATTAAGATATGTAAATTTATCTTCTAATTTAAGATTTACTATCACTTTTAGCATCTAAATGCAGACTAATTTCATCAAAAAAGATAAAGGTGGAGAAACATCAGTGTCGGCTCAATAAAAAATAAAATGGAAGGAATGAAAGACACTAATTTCTGAATATTTTATAGTATAGTTTATTTTTTGAGTAAATTAGGAATTTTTAGAAGGGATTTTCATGAACTTTTTAAGTACTTTTATATGCTTATGTGGATGCTTTTATCATTTAAAAGTATACATTTATGATTTTTAAAGTAAATTAGGAATACTTTTATATGCTTATGTGGATTTTCATGAGCTTTTTGAGTTAGCATTAATCTTTAATTTATGATTTTTTAAAGCCTATCAAAGATTAGGAACAAACTACATATTCTCTTTTGTGTTGTTTTAACACACTTTTTAACCAATCATCTTGTCTTATTGGATTTAATTATTATTTTTTTTGTAACGTTATTTTTTCAAGTGTTTTTTACTTTTGCAATACTATACGTTCTCAGGTCACGCTTGGTTTCATGGCGGTCCAAATAACGTGGTTATTTAAATTGTCTTCGGATTACATTTATTTCCTATCAATTCAATTTTCAATATGAAAATTTAAATAGGGTGTAGCTCACTTAAACGTATATTAAAGAAAATAAATAATCATAATGCTAAAATTTAGAGATATAAGCGAGCAAAGACAGTTAAAGTGAACTCTAGGAACAAATTTAAGTAAGAAAATAAACAAAAAATACTTAATCATGACATTTAACTACGTGCATTGCACGTGCACAGAACCTAGTATGACTAAGAACAAGGGCAGCAATCTCCTAGTAATGCGCTCTTGTTAGAGTGCTCTCAAGCATGGGGCCCACTTAGGAACTTCCTACTAGTTGAAATATTCCAACAAACTCTCAATTAGGAGCTTAAATATTATTTAAAAAATCCATTCTTCTACCTCTAACATTTTATAAATATATTTTAAAACAATAAACCTAATAAAAAATATTTTTTTAGTGGGCCCTCACCCCTTAGGAGCTTCCAAGTGCTCCACAAATTTGTGGAGCTCTATGGTGGACCCCACCGCTAACTAGGACTTAGGAGCCTTCTTGGGAGCTTGTTGGAACATGTTAGGAGCCTCCTTAGTCACTTGCTCCAAATGTTCCAGAGTGGATCCCATTACATTAGGTCTAAGAATAATTAAGTGCAAAATATAACCAACAGCAGTTTAATAATTACTCCGAGTCTCTTTTCGCTGGCGTGTGGGATCGAACCTATTGCGGTCTCCTCTCTTACAGCCGCTCTCGGACATAGACGTATCTTGAGCCTAATAAAGAGAGGATCTTCTCTAGCGTGCATCTCGATTTGTTTGAGGTTAATGCGTATCCGTATGTCATACGAGCGGATTCTCTGTGCTACTCGGTTTAAGTTTGTTTTCAATTTTCTGTGCTCGGTCAAAAATACTACACCTTCCAAAACCATACGCTTCCATAGTTTTCGTTTTTCTGAATTGCTTTTACTTCATAGATAGATGCCATGTCTACATGAACTTTTTGGGGTTTTTTTTTCCCGGAATTAGTCGGTTAAATCTTTAATATTTTGAAATTAGTCCCTAAAATCGTTGGGATTGCTGCCCATTCTTATATGTTCTGTCAAATCAAAAGTAGCCCCTAAAATCATTGAAATAGCCACCATGTATATCTCCATTTTTGGTTGAGAGAGAGAGAGGATGAGGTCGCGGAGCGAAACACCAGCTGCATCTCCAATTCTTATAAGTTCTCTCAAAATCAGTCTTTTAATCCAATAAAATTTCTTTTAGGTCCTCCCAATCCTTGTAAGTTGTTCCAAGTTAACTCCTCCGACCAGGAGTAACAAGAGCAAGATATTAAAGGACGGGAACCTAATAGCAGGTTAAATTATTTGAGGGAGTAATTTCAAACTATTAAAGGTTTAAGGGACTAATATCTAAAAAGACCCAATCCTCAAACCCCTGAAGCCAAGACGCAAAATATCAAATCCCAGCTTATGGCGGTCCCAATCCTTGTAAGTTGTTCCAAGTTAACTCCTCCGACCAGGAGTAACAAGAGCAAGATATTAAAGGACGGGAACCTAATAGCAGGTTAAATTATTTGAGGGAGTAATTTCAAACTATTAAAGGTTTAAGGGACTAATATCTAAAAAGACCCAATCCTCAAACCCCTGAAGCCAAGACGCAAAATATCAAATCCCAGCTTATGGCGGTCCTCCCCCAAATCCCTAATCGAGGCTCGCCGAATTGAGTCCCACATCGTATCAACCTCAAACCTCTCACCCCCAATTTTCCTCCTCAACCGGGTAATCGAGACTTACTCGAATCTCGGCAGTCTTAAAGACGCTCAAGAACTGTTCGATGAAATGCCAGATAGAAACACGGGTTCGTATAACGCCATTATCACGGGCTATGCACGTGAGGGGAAGAATCCGGAGCGTGCCCTTTATTTTTTTTCGAGAATGAACTCTTTGGGTTTTGGATACACAGGTGTCACTTTCGCGTCGGTTTTGAGGGCTTGTAGCGATGTTTTGGATTTGGGTCTCGCTAGACAAGTGCATGGGATGATCGAGAAGTTAGGGTTTTGTGGTAATTTTATTCTTGAAACGGCGTTGGTTGATGTTTATGGGAAATGTGCGGTAATTGGGGATGCGAGGAGAATGTTTGATTTGATTTCAGAGCCTAATGAGGTTACATGGAATGTTATTGTTAGACGATATCTTGAGATGGAAAAAATGGAGGAAGCTATTTGTATGTTTTTTAGAATGGTGAGTGAAGGTTTTACTCCGATTAACCATACAGTGATGAGTGCACTCAAGGCTTGTTCGAGTGTTATTGCCCTTGATGAAGGGCGTCGAGTACATGGGGTTGTTGTTAAAATTGGTTATAAAGAGGATAACATTGTTGAGAATTGTCTTATGGAGATGTACTTGAAATGTGGTGTTGTAGAAGATGCTTTTAAGGTTTTTGAGGATTGTGGTTCGAAATGTATTTTCTCATGGACCATGATGATCAATGGCCATGCTTCTTGTGGAGACATGGACATGGCTTCTATGCTTTTCAATGAGATGCCAGAGAAAAATGTGGTTTCTTGGAATACTATGTTGACAGGTTTCGTTAAGTTGTCTCGATGGGAAAAGGGATTGGATTTCTTCTATCGGATGCGAAGGGAAACAAAAGAAATGGATGAAATTACTCTTGGTTTGGTACTGACTATTTCTTCAGGGCTATTAGATCTCGGTCTAGGGAAACAAGTTCATGGATTTGCTTATAGGCATAGCCTCATTTCAAATATGTTCTTCTGCAATTCCTTGCTTGATATGTATACAAAATGTGGGAATTTGAGAAGTTCTGAGCTTTGGTTTGTCCAAATGGACAATCTTAGAGATAGGGTCTCTTGGAATTCTTTGCTATCGGGTTATGCTCGTAATGGCAGGAGCGAAGAGGCCTTGAATACTTTTCGTTTGATGCTATGGGAGACAAACCCCAATGAGAAAACTCTTAGTGCAGTATTGGTGGCTTGTGCAAATGTCTTTGCTCTTGAATTTGGGAAGCAAATACATGCATACATGTTTAGAAATGGTTTTGAGGATGTTGTGACTCGAGGAGTATTGGTTGACATGTACTCTAAATGCAATTTGATAGACTATGCAATCAAAGTATTTGATTGCGATAGCTCAAGGGACACTGTGCTGTGGAATTCAATGATTTTAGGGTGTGCTTACAATGGACGAGGTGAGCATGGTCTCAAACTCTTCGAGACAATGAAGGAGGATGGAATTAAACCTGATAATATCACTTTCACTGGTGTTTTACTTTCTTGTATCAGTGAAGGGTATGTTAACCTGGGTCAGAGTTATTTTGCTTCAATGGTTTCAGAATTTGGGATTATTCCTCGAATTGAGCATTATGCGTGTATGACCAAAACCATACGCTTCCATAGTTTTCGTTTTTCTGAATTGCTTTTACTTCATAGATAGATGCCATGTCTACATGAACTTTTTGGGGTTTTTTTTTCCCGGAATTAGTCGGTTAAATCTTTAATATTTTGAAATTAGTCCCTAAAATCGTTGGGATTGCTGCCCATTCTTATATGTTCTGTCAAATCAAAAGTAGCCCCTAAAATCATTGAAATAGCCACCATGTATATCTCCATTTTTGGTTGAGAGAGAGAGAGGATGAGGTCGCGGAGCGAAACACCAGCTGCATCTCCAATTCTTATAAGTTCTCTCAAAATCAGTCTTTTAATCCAATAAAATTTCTTTTAGGTCCTCCCAATCCTTGTAAGTTGTTCCAAGTTAACTCCTCCGACCAGGAGTAACAAGAGCAAGATATTAAAGGACGGGAACCTAATAGCAGGTTAAATTATTTGAGGGAGTAATTTCAAACTATTAAAGGTTTAAGGGACTAATATCTAAAAAGACCCAATCCTCAAACCCCTGAAGCCAAGACGCAAAATATCAAATCCCAGCTTAACCGCCTAATTCAAAACTCATCCCGCCCGAAACCTTCTCAAACCTCGCCGGAAACCTCCATCCTCGCCGCAATCGCCGCCAACAACCTCTCCCAATCCATCTCCATCCTCAAATCCTCGACCTCGCCGTTCTCCGCTTCAACCTACACTCGCCTCCTCAACCTCTTAAACTCCTCCTCCCCCAAATCCCTAATCGAGGCTCGCCGAATTGAGTCCCACATCGTATCAACCTCAAACCTCTCACCCCCAATTTTCCTCCTCAACCGGGTAATCGAGACTTACTCGAATCTCGGCAGTCTTAAAGACGCTCAAGAACTGTTCGATGAAATGCCAGATAGAAACACGGGTTCGTATAACGCCATTATCACGGGCTATGCACGTGAGGGGAAGAATCCGGAGCGTGCCCTTTATTTTTTTTCGAGAATGAACTCTTTGGGTTTTGGATACACAGGTGTCACTTTCGCGTCGGTTTTGAGGGCTTGTAGCGATGTTTTGGATTTGGGTCTCGCTAGACAAGTGCATGGGATGATCGAGAAGTTAGGGTTTTGTGGTAATTTTATTCTTGAAACGGCGTTGGTTGATGTTTATGGGAAATGTGCGGTAATTGGGGATGCGAGGAGAATGTTTGATTTGATTTCAGAGCCTAATGAGGTTACATGGAATGTTATTGTTAGACGATATCTTGAGATGGAAAAAATGGAGGAAGCTATTTGTATGTTTTTTAGAATGGTGAGTGAAGGTTTTACTCCGATTAACCATACAGTGATGAGTGCACTCAAGGCTTGTTCGAGTGTTATTGCCCTTGATGAAGGGCGTCGAGTACATGGGGTTGTTGTTAAAATTGGTTATAAAGAGGATAACATTGTTGAGAATTGTCTTATGGAGATGTACTTGAAATGTGGTGTTGTAGAAGATGCTTTTAAGGTTTTTGAGGATTGTGGTTCGAAATGTATTTTCTCATGGACCATGATGATCAATGGCCATGCTTCTTGTGGAGACATGGACATGGCTTCTATGCTTTTCAATGAGATGCCAGAGAAAAATGTGGTTTCTTGGAATACTATGTTGACAGGTTTCGTTAAGTTGTCTCGATGGGAAAAGGGATTGGATTTCTTCTATCGGATGCGAAGGGAAACAAAAGAAATGGATGAAATTACTCTTGGTTTGGTACTGACTATTTCTTCAGGGCTATTAGATCTCGGTCTAGGGAAACAAGTTCATGGATTTGCTTATAGGCATAGCCTCATTTCAAATATGTTCTTCTGCAATTCCTTGCTTGATATGTATACAAAATGTGGGAATTTGAGAAGTTCTGAGCTTTGGTTTGTCCAAATGGACAATCTTAGAGATAGGGTCTCTTGGAATTCTTTGCTATCGGGTTATGCTCGTAATGGCAGGAGCGAAGAGGCCTTGAATACTTTTCGTTTGATGCTATGGGAGACAAACCCCAATGAGAAAACTCTTAGTGCAGTATTGGTGGCTTGTGCAAATGTCTTTGCTCTTGAATTTGGGAAGCAAATACATGCATACATGTTTAGAAATGGTTTTGAGGATGTTGTGACTCGAGGAGTATTGGTTGACATGTACTCTAAATGCAATTTGATAGACTATGCAATCAAAGTATTTGATTGCGATAGCTCAAGGGACACTGTGCTGTGGAATTCAATGATTTTAGGGTGTGCTTACAATGGACGAGGTGAGCATGGTCTCAAACTCTTCGAGACAATGAAGGAGGATGGAATTAAACCTGATAATATCACTTTCACTGGTGTTTTACTTTCTTGTATCAGTGAAGGGTATGTTAACCTGGGTCAGAGTTATTTTGCTTCAATGGTTTCAGAATTTGGGATTATTCCTCGAATTGAGCATTATGCGTGTATGATTGAGCTTTTAGGTAAGCATGGGTTCATGGTTGACCTAGAAGATTTCGTTGATAAAATGCCATTTGAGCCTACACTGCAAATGTGGGTGAGAATCTTTGATTGTTGTAGAGAATTTGGGAATGACAGGTTGGGTGAAAGGGCTGCAAGATGTATTAATGAGTCGAATCCAACGGTTCCAGTTAGATTCGAACTTCTCTCAGGAACTGGAAATGAATGAAACTAATCACTTTTACCATGTATCTTGGTGACGATTATGGCACCGAAGATTTCAAAGAGCAGAGACGCTGGAATTAGAAATGCCTTTCTGAAGTATATATGCTCACCATGAAATATCATAAACAGATGAAGACAATGTTGCAGTCTCTCCGACGATTGTTGAAGACGAGTTCTTGATTATGGTGGAGGGCAATGTTACCTGCAGATTTGTTGGTAATTGCCTCATCACCTAATGGCAGAGAGGAATATATTATATACCAGTACATGAGATACTGAAGAAGCTGATACGAACATTCGAAAGGATAAATCATAATTATGTTTGATCGGTTGCAGATGAATTACTTAATGATACTGCTGTCAACAATGGGGTGAATCGAATTCAAAAGATTGCTCTATAATGATATCACTGGTTGCAGGACAATACATCATGCTGAAACCTCATAAAGATAGTACGAGATAAGTTTTCTCGTTTCAAGAAGATGGTATAGCTTCTGTGCCGTTCACTGCAGTTTTTCTGCAATTTACTGTATTATTATATATACGGAAATTTACTTTAATTTAAAAACTGTAGTTTTCACCGTAGAATGTTGCTTTGGCTGTTACAGATTATATTGACTTTATTTAATATTTTACAGTGGTTTAACGTAGACAATGGACCATCGATTACATTATCCTTCCTCTCATAGGTGAGTTATGTAGGATTTCTTTTCTCACACTCGGTTATAAAAAAACCGTATAAGCCTTTATCACCCCCTTAACTATTTTACTAGCATTTTTGCCTTTGGCTTCATGTTTTACGGAGGATAAAATTATGGCTGAAGCCTGGATTCATAGAGCAGTATAATATTTTTTAATCTATTTAGAAATTTATGAACGACAAGATTCAAACTTGGATTGCTCTAATGTGAATCGAGGGTTATAATTTTATAATCTAATTACTATGAATTAAAGGGTGTAAATTTGCAATGCTATGCACATACGTGTATTTGCAACCAAAAAAATATCACAAACTTGAATGAATGCACGTGGATTGGGACCTACTTCGGAGCAAAACCGCTGAGATATTTCTCATGCATTGCCAAAACCCCCCTTGAAGTTCTCGATATTTGCATAACTACTTCTGCAGAATTTGACTTTGATAGCAGCGATTCAATCACCTCCTTTTTTTTCTTTATAACAACAAGAAATATTTTATAAGGTGGAAATAATCCTTGTGTCATGAACCCTTTGAAATCATATAATTAGAGAAAGATTTTATTATAATTTTCACCCAAAACTCAACAGAAGACGGAAAATACTAAATAGCTTGAAGGTAATTATACATTAGACCACAAAAGTTGTGTGCAAATCGTATGAAAGTTTAATGTAAAATTTTCTAACTAGCATTTACAGCATTAGGAGAAAAGGAAAAAAGAAAAGAAGAAAAGAAGAAAATTCTATTTACACAACTCGAGTATCCAATGACAGTTTAACCCCAAATTACCGTGTTCCGAAACTATAGCAAAATCCTAATGTTGAACTACATAATCGAAAATAATTTATTATGTATGATTTGAAAATAATTCATTATGTATCCGCTTGAAGTATAGGATATAACGAAGCTAACATCTCCTCTGTCCAACCTCTATAATAACCATCAACAGTTTGAGGCTTTGAGCCAGTCTAGCCATAGAAAAACAGATTCATTATGCTATTTTGGTTTTACGAACGAATGAATTTGGAAGTAGGTTTAAAAATTAAATTGAGTAAACCTTTGGGTTTATAAATAAAAAACCCTATTTTAGGACAGAGCATCAGCGTTATCCTAATTGATAGATAGCCTGTCGTTTTCTCACCGTATTTGGCGGTCGTCTACGCTTAGAAAGGGTAAGGGAAAAAAAAAAGCGAAAACAAAATACCGAATCATTTCCTCTTTTCTCTCTCTCTCGCTCAATCCCTAGAATTACCCCCCAAAAAAGCTACGATTTTTATTGCTTCGTCTCCAATTCCTGTTTGATCCTGATCGCGATCAACGCCGGAACGCCTCGAATCGTTTATCAGGTTAGAAATTGTGAACAAATCTAGTTTGCATGTGTTTAGCTTGGAATTTTTGGACAATTTTCTGTTTAGATTTGAAATTATAGGTTTTGAACTTCATTGTTGAAGTTCTTGTGGCTATCTTAATTTTATCATTGTGTCATTAGTTTGATTTGATCCAGTAAAATTTTGGGTCTTTGTTGTTATTTTATTGGGGTAAATTTGTTTTTTTTAAGTATCTAAATATGCATCACAACTCAAGAAATTACACATGATGAAAATATCCATTAGGGTTGCTAGAAAAGTAATTCCTTGGACAATTTTTCTAGAAATATACCGTCTCCTATAATTTGACACTAAGCAGAACAACACTCGTACATCATATTAGAAATCATATCATTGACCCTTATAAGGTGTTGAATCGCTTCTCTTGTCAAGGTCTAAAATTTAGAAAGAACAGTTACTTCATAATTTGTCCAATTTCAATATGTCAGGTACTTGACCAACAGAGCACTTGTTGGCTAATGTCATACCCAAAAGGAAATAAATAGCACGGCCGAGTTTCCATGTGAAAATACATATTAAAGGTCGGACTTGAAAATACATATTAAAGGTCGGACTTTGGAGGTATGCCAGGGCATGGTCGTTTACTTCTAATTTTTGAATGAATGAAAGTTTCGAAACGAGAGAATGTGTGGGATAAATTGAGAGACACGGACACTATTTGTCCCATGATTGTACGATCACCATCCTTTTAGTATGACAACATCGTTTAACCAGAATAGACAACTGACTCGGAATAGCATGTTACTTTGATTCAGAAACCTATATTAGCCTTTTTCGTCATCTAATCCTTTTCTGTGCTATGTTTCTTCTTCTCATCCTCCTTCCTCTTTATGTATATTCTATCTCTCTTTCTCTAATGTAATTAATTGATTGGGCATCTTGTCCTTATTACTAAAAAAGGTACTTTATACTTGATATTATCCTATTTGTATTTCCCTCTCACGGTGAACATATACTGAGATCACTTGAATGTTGCATTAGATATCGATATTTGATTAAAGTGAACCTGTTATGTGGTTAACGAAAGAATTCTAAAAAAGAAATTTGTTTGATCTTTATAATGATCCCTTTTCTGCACTAAATAACTCGTGCTTGAAAACAGACTTTCAATTTATGTGTACCAGACACACTTCATAGTGTGTTAGAATGATATTTTGAATTATTTTCTGGAACTTAGTTTCAGATGCAGATGTTCCAGGAGTTAAATTAACAAATGGATTCTGGCCATGCTATTTCTTGTTGCATGCTTGTTCATATATTTTGGATAGTTTAATCCTACACAATTTGGAAAAAAATATCCCCCCCCCCTGTACGTATATCCTATATTTTTTTGTTTCAGTAAATAGATGTACAATAGTGCTAGTTTATTTGTAAAAAGAGATGCAAACAGATTTAAATTTTAATTTGATGTACATTGTCCAGTGTTAATTAGCAATCATTGTATTCGACTATAATAGTTTTAACACATCTTGACTTTGCAGTTTTGGTATGCTTAGCTGTTGTTGGATATGGCAGAGGCATAAATATTAAATTTTCAACGCGAACCTGTCTCAGCATCAAAGAGGCCAATTTTAATGAAATGGAAGATGATTATGAAATGGGTGCCGTCGAAGATTACCTGGATGAAGAATTTCTTGAGGGAAGAATAGGGCATTCGGAATCTGATGATGAATATGATCGATCTGTATGCCAATTTCAATTCTTGCTTTCTTAATGCAAATTTACGATCAACTTAATTCAGGGACTCAAGATGTGATGGATAGCTCTTGTGATTTTATAATGTTATTGGCTGTATTATATTCATCTCTATTGCTCGGGATAACTTTCTTTCCTCTGAAGTCCTATTCTGAGATAGTGTGTATACTCAAGAACATTTGTTAACTTCATGCAGCATGACAATGCGTCAGATACGTCATCTCTACAAGCTAGGAAAGGAAAGGATATCCAAGGAATAGCTTGGGATAGGTTGAACATTACGAGGGAAAAGTATAGGCAGACTAGATTAGAGCAGTACAAAAATTATGAGAACATACGCAATTCTGGAGAAGCATCAGAAAAGGCATAGTTGTGCTGACAGATTTAATACATTATATCACATTTTAATCATCATTTTGCTTCTTCTTTTTTCTTTTCCTGACTTGCATATCCTTTTATGTAGGAATGCCAACCCACGGAAAAAGGGGGTATGTTCTATGAATTCCAGCGCAACACAAGATCGGTGAAATCAACTATTCTTCACTTTCAGGTCAGCTAAAGGTTTCATTTTTAGGTTTCAGAAATCAGATTCTTGTTGTATTTGTACAGTGGTATTAGTTAGTCTATCTACTTGTTGAACTATGTATTCTTTTTGCTAACTTTTTTTTTTTTGGTGGAAATGGTGAAGCGTATTCTTTGCACTTCATTAATAAGAGGTCAGTGGGAGAAAGAATAAGGACCAAGATATTTTTTGGGGATAGGTTTATTAATCAAACAGCATTAACTACATAGAATTAGGTGAAGCTTGTTTAACATAAGATACTGCTAGCTAGTACATTAAATAATTCTTCAGGATTTTTTATTTATTATGGAAACTAGATATTCGTCACATTTTCTTTGGACTAGGTTCTTAAAGTATCTTTGTACCAAATATATGTAGCTAGCATTTAATGGAATGTCTTCTGTTTTCTTAACAATCATCATATTTTTTTTACATGTGAGGTTACTCTCTGAATTTTGTTATTGTTCTGATTTGCTTGCATTGCGTTCCCAAATAGTTGTATAATTGTATTGTTTTCTCTGTTGTTTATATGAGGAATTGATGGGTCGTTTCTTCTGTGTTTGCAGCTGAGAAATTTGGTCTGGGCTACATCAAAGCATGATGTTTTCCTCATTTCACATTATTCTATCATGCATTGGTCAGCATTAACTAGTAAAGAATTTGAAGTGATGAACGTATCAGGGCACGTGGCACCATCTGAGGTGTGTGCAGTTACCCTTTGAGAAAGCTGCTATAGTCTTTTCCTTCCATTTATGCTCTTTTTTCCCTTCCTTTTTTGTTGCTCTGATCAGTTATCAATCTTGAACAATGGTTTTCAGTTCATTGTTGTATTATGCTTACATCATTTCTCCCTGCTTCTGCAGAAACACCCAGGAAGCTTGCTAGAAGGCTTTAGTCATACTCAAGTTAGTACATTGGCAGTGAAGGATAAATTGCTTGTAGCTGGGGGATTTCAAGGAGAGCTCATTTGTAAAGTAATTATGTTTCTTTTCATTTGGATTATCTGTTTGCACTAGTAAAATTTGTTAGCAGAAATATGCAACAGCTGTTTATAAATGGGATGAGTACTTTCCCTCCATAACATAGTTATTTGCTTCCTCTGGCCAGCATGTCCTTTTTTTTTCTTTTTTCTTTTAGGATGGTTGTTGCTGTGTGGCAAGCGACACCGCTTACTCTTCTACAATCGTACTTGTACATCCTGAGTGCTAAATTTCAAGAATAAAGTTTGTAAAACATGTATCAAATGTGGACTTGTTCACTGCTTGTGTGCTTTTATGCATGTATAGCTGGAGAAATACCGATAGTAAATTCAGTAGTGGAATATGTCAAAACATGCTATCAAAATGGCATCCATAGCATCCCAATGATCCCATTTCTGACTATGAAGTAGCTAGTTCATGATGTTTTGAGAAGAAAGTGTGAGATGGTTTGAGAGGATCAGACTTGTCGAAGAAATTTAATTAGAAGTGGAAAAGTTATACCCTCTTCTTCATATGTGCTTTTTCTAGATATAACACTCCTGGGTATGCAAGTGTCTTTAACCTGCTGCATCAATCAGGTCTTTCATTTAAACCTGTAGTATTGTTCCGTACATAATTTTTGTTTAAGAACCAGTTCATTCTTACTTTTGAGTTATTAAGATACTGATATGCATCTTACCTCTGAAGATATTCTTACCTCAATTTTAGAAGTAATCTCTAGACTGAACTAAACATAATTGCTTCTTCATGTGCATCATTGCTTTTAGATTTAGGCTTCTTTTATCAAGCCATATTAGTAACTGGGGTGATGTCTATTTTTATATTTGTTGATTACATGTGTCATGCTATGTGAACTTGTGGACATTTATTTGCTTGATCAGCTCTTTTTTCAATAAGATACTGACTTTTCAAACATGAATACAACTTTTAGAAGGTTTCAGAAGTCAATAACATTTGTTTTCTAGTTTAGTGGGTCATATTGTTGGTGCCAACCTTATTTTGTAAAACCTTACAAGTAAAGCTCCTAATAAAGCTCAAAAAATAAGCTGGTAATTTCAACTTATTATTTTCCTACTTGTAAGGGGAAAATAAGTGAATTTTACCAAACATGAACTTGACCCTTACAAGGAAAAACACACTTGTAAGTTCAAGTAAGCCTTAAACATGTTCGAACTATCTAGAATTGATGAATTATATGTTAGTAATGTTTTAATTTTTTTTCTTATACAGTACATGGATCAGAAGGGAATAAGTTATTGTTGCCGAACAACACACGATGATAATGCAATCACTAATGCCATTGAGATTTATGACAGTGACAGGTAATTGTCTTTTTCTTGGCTTTGTGTTTATGGTACTTCAGTGGCTGACCCTACTTGAAATTACCCAGTGGTCCTGTGCACTTCCTGGCTTCAAATAATGATTGCGGTGTTCGTGATTTTGACATGGAAAAGTTTCAATTTGTCAAGCATTTTCGGTTTAGTTGGCCAGTGAATGTAAGCTATCCATGTTTTATCTCTTATCTTGTAAGCCTTATATTTTATTATGACTGCATGGAGCTGGAAATAAATTTGAATACATTATTAAAAAAAATTATCTATAGAAAGGCCAAGAAGTTTACTTGCTTTCTCCATGACATCAATAAAAGTAAAAATGAAAGTAAAAGGCTAGACTACTTTAATTTAACTTATTTGGTACTCCTCGGTCCTGTACCTGTTTGCATGCATGTGCGTATGCATATGTTCTAGGTTAATTCACAACTTCAACTATGAATTTTTAATTCAGGAACTCTTACCACGTGTTTCAGATCAAAGCTTTTTAGATTGGTTCAATCACTTGATTCTATCATCATCCCTGCATTGATATTCGCGAATAACTATCATCGCATGCAATTTTTTCCAACCTGATTAGAATATCATAGAAGGAAGGTATATAAATAAGATGAAAAGGCTCAAGTTCATATCCGTTTATGTATTAGGAAAATATCAATGCAAGCCATAGCTTGAAGCACATGTTATTTATGTGTGAGAAAACAAGTTAAGATATTGATGAGTTTTACAATTCTTGTTTTTGTTTTTTTCTTCTGTAATTGCAGCATACATCACTTAGTCCTGATAAGAAGCTTCTTGTCGTTGTGGGGGATAACCCTGAGGGACTTCTAGTTGACGCGCATACTGGAAAGGTACTGGCAAATTTGGTATTTAAGTGTTGTGTATGGTTATTTGGAGATACTGAGTATTATGCGCCATGCACGCACACACATGGAGAATTGGGTATGAAGTGACAGCTCATTTTGTTAAATGAACTATGAAGAGATGAGTTGGTGGTGGGGTGCATGTGTTTGTTAGTAGCTTATTTTATTGAATGAGCCACCAACTATTATCTATTGTCCCCTATGTTAGCCGGGTACTTCTATCATGAAGTTGTATCCATACTCCACACGTATTGACGTACCCGTACCTAAATTTCATGGACACTCATTGGATATATGCATATGCTTATTATATATGTACTCAATTAGATGTTCATATTCATTTCTTGAACTCGTTAGACATGGGTGGGATTCATTTTAACTCATACCCAAGTACAAAACTATGATTTTAAAGGGTCATTTTTGTGTCAAGTTAAAAATGAGCAGTTTCCAATTTATAATAATCAACATAATAAAATAAACTTATAATGTATTACAAATTTTAGTTCTAATTACACATGAAGTGAAAAACAATAATGATCTCATATAAATTATTAATTTCAAAATATATATCCATATATATGTAGTCGTGTCCCTATACCTTGTATTTTACAAATTTGTCATGTCTTGTACCCGTACCCGTACATGTTTCCATGCAACTTAGGTTATCCTTGTATACAGAAAAATGAGTATGAGATAACAATTTATTGCTAAATGAGCCACTAAGAGATAGATTAGTGTGTAGGTTTACTATGCTAGTCATATCATTGCAGATGGACATCACTGCTGCTATCACTTTGCAGCTTGTTTTGCTAAATGAGCTGTCAGATTATGAGGGTGTTTGGGGAGCTTATTTTAAAAACTTTTAACCATGGTCTTTGAGTTTTATGAGAAAATTTTATAAAAATTGTATGGGTGAAAAAGTCATTTGCTTGGTCACACCTAGCCTATTTATGTGAGCTTATAAGCTACATTTTCATACTTTGGGAAATCTCAACTTTTTAAAGTAGAACTTAAAAGCTATATCATCTGGGATGCTACCCAACAGGCATGTATGGAAAAACTAGCTTAAATGCTACTTTGATATAAAAAATAAAAAATAAAAGTACGCTTGCAAACATCCTTCATATATAGGGGTCAGATGTTTCTTGGTAGTTTTTGATAATTATCCCCGAAAGATCGATTTCTCACTCTTTCTTCTTTCTTAAGACCGTCCAAGAAATGCACGGTCACAAGGACTTCTCCTTTGCTTCCGCTTGGCATCCTGACGGTCAAATGTTTGCAACCGGCAATCAAGACAAGACCTGCCGACTTTGGGATGTTCGGAACCTCTCCAAATCTCTTGCAGTACTCAGGGGGAATATCGGCGCAATAAGATCAGTCCGCTTCAGTTCTGATGGCCGGTTCATGTGCATGGCTGAGCCTGCTGACTTTGTTCACATCTTTGATGTTGGAAGTGGATACACTAAAAGGCAGGAGCTTGATTTCTTTGGTGAGATCTCAGGCATGGCTTTTAGCCCTGATACAGAGGCTCTTTTTGTGGGCATATGGGATAGAACTTATGGTAGTCTCCTCCAGTATACCCGATCTCGGACTTATACTTATCTTGACTCTCTACTTTGATGTAGAAAGTTAGTGTTTGGTTCTGAAATGGGCCAGAGTCGGTAATACAACTGTTTCTTTTGGTTAATAAAGGGGAGATCTTCTCTTAGTGTATAGTGACGTACATTCAGCTGTGGTGTTGTACAAGACGAGGATGTTTTCCTGTTGTAACTTTAGTTCTGTAAAGAACCATGACTTTTTAGCATAAAAACTTTTTTCTGCCAGGTGTTCGTGACGTTTTGAATTTGTCAGGCCTTTGGGCTTTTGTCCAGTTTGTGCCTTGTCTTTGTGCAAATGGGAGGGTGGGACCAATATAAGTTTCTTTGAATTTACTCTGTCAAGGTCTCTGCTTTGTGTTGGCGTAATTGTTAGTATGGCCGAGGATTCTGATCGTTGCAATTCGGTATTTCTTAGTCGAGGAGGTAGCAGTTCCTTTTGAGTTCGAGTCCAAAGGCGTCGGAAATGAATGTGTGTAAAATTTGAGGTCATTCCGAGTCCAATTAGGTATTTTCTTCTTGTTACCTTCAAACCCTCGTGAATCCAAGTCCAGAAGGTTGCCATGTTTGGCCAAGTCTACAGTGCCATAGTACATCGATGCGTACATATATACATGTCGATCTATTACGCTACTTTCTATACTCAGTAAGCACACTTCGATAGCTGTAACATTTTTTCGGAAGCTTTGTGCACCGAGCTGTCTTTTTTATTTATATACATACAACCTTTTTTCCCCCCCAAGAGAAAGAGTTATTTCATCATTGGAGTTGGTAAGTTATCTATGTAATGCCTTTTAGCACAACAATATCTTGAACAAGATTTAGATTTCATTTACATGGATGGCGTTGGCTTTCCTTCATTTTGTGGCCACAATATCTCTTATCCTAAAAACCCTCAACCAATCAACTCCTCCCAAGTCACCACTCCAAATCTATCCCCTCACTCCCCTCTCCATTCCCCTCCTCACAATTCTCTCCCCCCTCTATAAGCTCACACTCTCTTCTTCACAAAAACAAATACCACCCTCCCTCCACAAGCTAAGCAAAAAGCTCATAATGGCCTCATCAGCCCTCTTCACAACCCCAACCATCCAAAAGCCCACCCACAACCTCACCCCCTCCTCCCACTCCTTCGACAGTCCAGGCCGAGCTGAGCCCACCCCTAGTCATCAGCCTCAGCACGGGCCTTTCGCTCTTCTTGGGCCGTTTCGTGTTCTTCAACTTCCAGAGGGAGAATGTGGCCAAGCAAGTGCCTGAGCAAAACGGGCAGACCCATTTCGAGGCAGGCGATGAACGGGCCAAGGAGTATGTGGGCCTCCTGAAGTCCAATGACCCGGTTGGGTTCAATATCGTGGATGTTCTGGCATGGGGGTCCATCGGGCACATTGTTGCTTACTATATCTTGGCTACTTCGAGCAACGGTTATGATCCTAAGTTCTTTGGTTGAGGATTTTGGGCTTTTGGTTGTGGGCTTTGATAGTTTGTTGGTGTGGTGTATAGGATCGCGGTGATGATGTATGGGATTTTGGTTTATCAATCAAATGTTAGTTTACCGTGCTTTAGTTTTCCTGTTTATGCTTTTTCACGCCTATTTGTTTCCCTGATTTATATTTGTTTTTGTACTTTTTGCACCGTGAATGCAAAGTTTCGTAGCAGCATAAATAAATATAGAGGCGATGACCTGTACTGTAGTTTTAATAAGAATTGCTGTCAAGAGAATGATACGACGAGCTTGGATGCCCAAAATGAACCGCAACATCTAACGGTGTATATATATATATATATATATAATATATTATGTTATTATTATATATATAATCTCTATGATATATATAGTATATATATTATTATATAATATCACTAATATTCCACACTTATATATAATATATTGCAGATTAATGTTGGTATCCTTGTCATAGGAGGGCGATTGTTCCATCCTATGAACGCCTTAATTCTAAAATACATGATGCAGCGACATTATTGGGGAATAGAGTACTCGTACGTTTTCATGACTTCGATAATAGATAAACTAGTCACTATTCGTAAGAATAACCTTCCACAGTCGCACACAACCACCTCATGGTGTGGCGCTTACAAATGCCACATCAAGTTTGGGGTGAGGAGCACAACCTGAATTCGTTGTCTGTTCGCTGGAACGCATAAGCACTTGATAAACTCCCCACTCGTTGATCGCTAATTTTTAACGGTTTGAATGAATTATGTTTATAGGACACCTTTTCAACTATCGTTCGGCTCAATGGAGGGTAAACAATAGCGGAGACTGGTATTCACCCCACCAAAACTTGGTTGTTGGGGTTTTAAAATATGTACGATTAAGTTAACGGAGCGTAATTTTTTTTTTCAATCCATAATGTCGCTCAATCATGTGATTTTACGAGGCGTCAAAGGAAGGAAATCCGCTCCTATGAAAGAACCCATTAATCTCTCTCTCCTCTCTCTCTCCTTCTATATATATATATATATAAGTATAACTTTACTAATATATATATATAGTATATATAAATATATATATCGGCGACGGTTAGAACGCCGGCGGCGGTGGTGGAGATGATGAACAGTAATTTGCGGCGGTGAGGGCGCGTGCGTTTGGGAAGATGAGAACGAAGGTACGGGCGCTTTTGGGAAAAAAATGATAGATTTTTGCATCTAAGTCCTTTGTCGTTATTTTAAATACAAATTAATTGCTGAATCATGTTAGTTAGTAATAATTGCTAAATGTTGATAATCAATTTTTAAAGTTGACCGGTGTGGCACGTAGGGATTTCCTACGCTTCTCAGCTACCTCCCGTTTTCTGCATATATATATGAGATTAATGGTATCCTTGTATAGGAGGGGATTTCCTCCTTGACGCTCTAAAATCACATGATTGAGCGACATTATGATGATCCCTCCGTGAACTTGATCTACATATTCTAAAAACCAACACACCAAGTTTGGGGTGAACCCGTCGTCCGTTTTGACCCTTCAATCCACTCGGTTATCAATGTTTAACGCGTTTGAATATAGAACTTTTCACATGCCTCGAGGAGGCAACGACGACGGATTCACCCCAAACTTGCGTGTGTTGGGTCGTTTTTAGATATGTTAGATCAAGTTTCAACGAGCGGATTCTTTACATAACTTCCCTCTTAGAGATCCACTTTTATGCCTTCTTTTGTATTCGATGGTCTATACCCTGCTAATAATGCAATCATTAAGCTTCTTGTTTGCAACATGGTGTATGCTAGTTGTGTTTGCACTCTGATTGGTATCTGTAATATTTTTCCAGGTTATCTTTATAACTACCAGACAAAGGAGTTTTATGATCTTAGCTATGATCATGAATCAACAGGCCCTTCCCGTTTTGGCGGTGATGCACGCTTTTCTTTTTCATTTGTGTTTACAAACTTTCACTGACCATAATTTGTGTTAGAAAAGTTATATCCATCTCTTAAGTTGATTTGGTTGGACCAAAGATTTTGGCTAAAGAACTTAGTTCTTTTTGCAACAATTTAACTGAGGAAGCAGTTACTATACGACATTAAGCTTATGTGCATATATAAACACTATTATGTTGTATTCAATCAGGACATGATCATGATACTTCCATCAAATTTCTATTTTATTGGTATTTCAATTTTATGGAATTGTTTAATCACACGGCATCTTATTGTTGTCGTGGTTTAAGGTTGGTACGATATTTCAGCAGTAATGTCTGAGTCACTGATAAAATAATCTGAAAGAATTATTACTTTTTACTATTAGAGATGACTGAAATAAACAAGAAGCTTTATTATAACTTTTTACTATTAGATTTTGTCAAGATTGATGCCTTGTAATCTAAATTCAAAATCAGAAAACTAACATTTTATAAAGTGCATGTAAATTTAGACTGCAACGTTGGACTTGCTGCTATCAGTAGTCTGCAGCAGATAATTATTTGTTACTCATATAGTGTCCACAGAAAGATATTTGTCCAACAAGCTAAGCTTTGCCGTACAAGTGCTCCATATGTAGTTTATCGTATGGATGTAAGATAGGAAACACAATCTCGCATGCTTAGGTTCACAGGTTTGCGTAACTTGTTCTGCTTACTCACTCTGTGTTCTTGTGGATGACAGCTTATTTTGATACCTGGTTACTTTCTTTCATCTATCTGACTTGGTTCCTTGCTCTGATTGCTTGCAGTGCAGCTACAACACCATGCTCGCCATCACCTTCCTACATTCCAGTTAATCTTTGTTCATGTAATTGAATCGTTGGTTTTTGTACCGGTAAGTTGATCCTCATCTTCAGTGATGTCTTTAATCTCGTTTTGGGTCATAATTTCCTTGATTCATGTTCTTGTATTGTTTTATGGTTGCAGATAATGATAGGTATTCTGTTCTTTCTATTCGAGTTCTACGATGACCAGCTTCTTTTATATAGAACGCCAAAACACAGCTCTTTCGGCATTAAACCTAATGTCCCATGGAAATTAGCGGCGAGGGGAGGAGATCGCGGGCCCCAGGTGCCAGCGGGAGGCCGAGGGGTCGAAGACGAGGGGGCGGGGAAGGGCGGGGGAGACGC